ACTCCATGATGGAACAGTGGTCAACACAGTTTCTTACAACATGGAAGGACTACTGAAATTGTCCGTTGACAAATATCTCGACATTGTTGGTCACGATACCAAGATGAAAGCAGTCAATACACCAAGTCTCCCCGAAGAGACCAAAGAACATCCGGCACGGGCTCCGGCTCCCGGAAAGGATTGCACCACTTGCCCTTGGTGCGCCAATACTTTTGACCCCAAGTACAGTGGTAAGACATCATCTGGTAAAATTCAAGACGTCGCAGATACAGATGAATGTCGTGGAGCACTTGCGCCACATGCTGCCAGCGTTCTTATGAAATTGCTATACGCAGCCAGGATTGCAAGGTTCAACCTACTTCGTTCTAAGTCTATCACAATGTTGGCACGTAATGTCAACAAGTGGACAACAAAGGACGATGCCAAATTACATCATCTGATGTGCTACGTAAGTAGCACGTTAGACAAGCGCATGATCGGATGGGTAGGAGACTCTCTTGCTAACCTCTCAATCGGAATATTCGCTGACGCTGACTTTGCTGGCTGTGGTGACACGTTGAGATCCACCTCCGGATCCCACATGCATGTGTAAGGACCGCACACACGATTTCCTATTGCAGGTGGTAGCAAACGTCAAGGTTGCGTGAGTCATTCCACTCCCGAAGCCGAGATTGTTGCAGCAGATATGACCCTCCGCAATTATGGAATTCCATCCATCGGTCTATGGCAGACACTCACTGGCAAAGCGCCAGAAATTCCTCTTCCATGATGACAATCAGGGTATGATTGGTGTCGCCAGAACTGGTCGGAATCCTACAATGAGGCACCTGGAACGCACCCATGGCACTTCCATCGTGTCTTTGCACGAACATTTCCAAAGTGACCATTTTGCGCTACTCTATGAGATCTCTCACAAGATGTGCGCCGATATCCATACAAAGGCTTTCCGGATGCCTCTTGCTTGGCGCCGAGCTTGTATGTTGATCTACCTTCTTGATTCTTGATCCCTCAGATTTGAGTTCTCAAGAGCTTGCCGACATGGTCTCCCCATCGGTCGACCACAAAAAGATTGACCACCAAATGTTTCAGACCAAGACTGATGACATACCCAATTTCCCTTGTGCGCAGACTCCAGTCTTATCACGAGCCGTGTTTCACAAGGGCTTGACCGGCAAGGAAGGGGGTATAAGACCTTCCCAACAGTGATTGTCTGTATGTCGTCAAAGTCCCAGTCTACTATCGTCGGTATCCACCAGGACGATTCATTCCTCATGATGCGTGTCGGAGCACCTGGGTACTTGTCAATGGTTCCTGGAATCGAGTTGAGACGGAAGCACCACCCTTACAACAGGCCCAACGTTTCGACCAATGGGTCGAACGAGCATGTTTCCGGTACCATGTCTCGAAGGCCTCTTCCACTTCGGAAGCTGGTGTGTGTTCATCGTTCTCGCCTCTTCCTGCCTTGGCCAATGTCCCATGGACTCCTGATGCTGTCCTTCAATTTTCATTCGAGCCTGTCTCATGTGATCCTCATTCGCCTCCAAACGATTGCGACCTACCACCCTTCGTGTGATCAACGCGCTAGTACGTCTTGTTCATCGGGGGAGCGGGGGGCAGGACGGTGCATTAATTCGCGCTTGCGGTGCGGTCACTGACCATTTCGACGCTCAGGATTCGAGATCAAAAACAACAAAAGCAAATAAAAGGTATCAAGATGAATGGCGTTTGGATGGACGCGTGCTGATAAGAGTGCACAACGTCCCAAGAACAAGCAAATTTGTTCCTTCAGAATGTGATGATTGCCCGGTCGACATTGATTTGTTGACTGACGATCGGACCACTGAACTGTTTTTTAGAAACGGTAAAACCAAAGAGCACGATATGTGTCGCTTTCGAGGAAACTCCACCGGGGGAAGTGTGAAGAATGGATCGGAACAACCGAGTTCCGTGTCCTCACTGAAGACATGGAAAGGGCAACTGGCAAAGTCGTCGCAAGTGCTCAACAAAGCAAAAACATCACCATGTGTACACAAGCGTGGGGACTGAGCATCATTCCACAGAGCAATATGTTTGTACTTCAATCCTTCCAATACATGACAAGTGAATCCTTGACTGGACGAAAACCGGTGTTACATCTGATTTTACAAAGACAGTCAGGTAGATCACACAAATATCAGTTCGAGCTTCATACCGGAGAGGAAGGAAATGGAGGTTATAAGGGTAAAACCCGTGCTCGCTGTTTGATCCTGCATGAAATGGATAGAACCAAAGCTGGTTCACGTTCCTGCAAACTTCGATGAAGAACCCATTCATGAACGTCGTCACCATCACGGAAGATGACGATGCAACTTCCCCGTATGGGAACAGCAAGGTAAAGGCGTGTGCAAGATCTGAGCTCGATTGTGTGTTTTTTGCCGGACCATGTACTGGAGGATCAGCTTGGGATCGCTTGAACCGAACGATCAGCAACAAAGCAGCGATGCAGATTAAGCAACACCAACAATTGTACTGGAAATTTTGGGAAAACTTTGCATGTGTTTTCCATTGATGCTTGCGCGTTGACTGAGCTGCCGAGAGGTTGTGAATATTGGAACGATAAGCGTATGGTGCAACTTGTGAATGGGACTGAGTCGCACGTACATACCTTTGACGGACGCATGTATGGTCTCACATCGCAATACAACGCAAAGGGTTTACCCATCAAAAAGCCGTGGAAAGTAGTTTCATGGGGGGTACACTTCAAGGAATTGCAGAAGACTTGCGATGGTCGTCATCAACATGTGCCTTGTGCGGGTAGGGATCACCCTGCTCCCAACAGCGAAAAGGACACTGGAAGATGTGACAAATCATCGCGATCCACAAGCATTAGCGCGATGGATGAACGTCATGGACAAAGATCAAATCCAACAGCTGCATGATGGACCAATACCATAAGGTTGCGCCTGAGAATGAAGCACCAACCACAGAAATAGCTTCATCAAGCAATCGTGCTCGAACACGTGAAAGAGAACGCGACAGAAAAGGAGAAGGAAAAGGAAAGATCTATGGTCCAGCCGCCCCGCAAACCTGGGAACAAACCAACAGGTATGCTCGAGATTGGCGTCCACCAGCCATGAATAGCTATGGAGCAACATTCAATGATGGTGTATGGACAAAACCAAGATTTCGACGTGATCCAGGACATTGGGATGCACCATACTATGGCCCAAATATGAAAACAACACGAAGGAGCTGGCGGAAATGGGATCAAGATCACGAGCAAGATCAAGAAGAGGAAGACGATACCTGGCAAGAACAAGGCTAGCGCACGACACTAGACCTTGGAAGCTGTAAGAGTATCCGTATGTGAACTTTCTACAGATGGAGGAAGCAATGCTCAATCTAGGAGAAGTACTGAGTGGATTCTGAGCGAGGCAAAACCTTCACTGTCGGTTTTCGCGAATTAAAGTCATAAACAACTTACGGGACTTGCACGCTGTATAGATATGTAAAGACCGCTTAGTTTCAATAGTGATGTGTAGTTAGAGTTTATTTCGATAAGTCTCGCGGCAAAATACCTAGCGAACCACTGTTTCCACTACCCTTGAACTTGAAGTGTGACTGTCGCTGAAAGCATCAGCCACATGGGGGGTGTCAATAGCAGTGGAACGATAGCGCAGTCTGTATATGTACAGTACACTACAAGCGTGTGATGCCAATTTGGCTCAAGACTCCCGTTGCGCAGAAGAAAAGGGTAGCGCGGGAGAAGAGGATGGTCAACTTGTACTTCCCGTCAAGCTGATTAATATCCACATGCATGCTGTACACACATATATATATATATAGATATAATAGGATATATTATATATATGTTTTTTAATTAGACCACTTAAGCTATCTCTGATTGTTTTGCAAAATAATAGAAAAGCAACGAAAAGCAACTACAAAGAGAAAAAGAAAAAACAAATGAAAAATCAACAGCAAAAAAAACAAATCCAAAAAGGAAATTAAAATATGCAAAAATCGAAAAACACACACAAAAACAAAAAATGCAATGAAAAATATAAAACGAAACAAATGCGAACAAAAAGACAAATGAAAAAACAAAAAATAGGCGAACAAAAAAGCAAAACCACAATGAAAACACAAAAAACGGAAAACAAACGAAAAAATCAACAACCAACAGGCCCAAAAAAAACGGAAAAATGCGGGCAAACAAAAAAACGACTTTAAAAAACACGAAAAAAACGAAAAGAACACCACGAAACATGTGAAAAAGGAGCGGGGAAAGAAATACGAATAAAAAACTGAAATTTGTTTTTGTTTTTGGATTTGTTTTTTGCTGTTGTGTTTTTTGTTTGTTGGATTTGTGTTTTTTGTTGTTTTTTTTGATTTGTTTTTTGTTTTTGCTGTTTCATGTGTTTTTCTGTTTGATTTGTGTTTTTTGCTTGTGTTTTTTCTTTTGTGTGTTTTGCCTTTTGGAATTCATTTTTTGTTTTTTTCACGTGTTTTTCTTTTTGGGTTTGTCTGTTTCTTGCGTTTGTTTTTGTAGTTGTTTTTTGTTGTTTCCGTTTTTCCTTTTTACTATTTTCAACATTCACAGAGTTAGCCTGGGTCCGGTGAACATAAATATATATACAGTATATATGTATATATGTGTATTCAACAACCACGTGGTGGAGACAAGGGGGAAGTCACTTGCCCGACAAACTAAAGAGACGAAGCTGCAAGGGGTATCAAGGAGCCGCGACCTTCAACAGACAAGATAGAGGGAAAGACTAACCCCAACCCAAGAAACTTCAGAGTGTGAGCCAAATCGAAGGCAGGAACTACAAATTACGCAGCGTTATCTTGTGTCGGACAGAAAACTGAAAGATGAAGCGTCAGACTGTGTGGCGACAAAAAACTGTCACAATACTCTGCCGCTCTCGTTGCGATAGGGAGGAAATGGGTGGAAATGGCACCAAGACAGTGGAAAAATATGTGTCCATGACAAGGCTAAAGTATGCTAAAGTATTCAGGCTTTGGCGGGATTCTGGCAGATGAAATGGGGCTCGGCAAGACTGTGCAAACTGCGGCCTTTTTGGCGTGCTTGAAGTTCACGAATCAAGGAGTGAGGCATGGCATGAAGGAAGACGCAAAAGTTGACAAGAGACTAGAGATGAAAATCATGCGCTTATGTACACCAAGGCATTGTTCGCACAGGAGCCCGCTTTTTGGTGGTTGTGCCAGTGACACTGTTGGAGCAATGGCGACGAGAGTTAGAGACTTGGGCCAGAATCCAAGACAGACTCTGAGATTTGTTTCTTTAAGTCTACCATAGATGTGAACGCATGTTGACTTGACTATTGAACGCGTCGTGAGATCGGTTCTTGTTTTGCAAAAAGATATCACCTACAGACTACAGATCAAGAAGCTGACAAAGTCGGAGGGAGATGGTGATGCAACTGGTTAGCGCATGTAAGAAGTCTTTGCTCATGATGATTTAGGTTTCATGCTTTGCAGAGGCGCAAAATACTGGCTTGGCAGTTCATGTGATGCACGGTGCACCACACGAGCGGAGATCGGCAATAAGGGGTTTGGCGGTCGCCTCAGGTTTTGTCACTAACCAAATGCATTCACGCTCAGTCGAGTAAGGCTGCTCGAAGTGGCGTTCTCTTGATTTCATATGTGCCAAGCTCGGCATTTTACATAGCATCAGCTGAGTACTGTTCACGGCACCGTGCTAGGATTTGGTTCGAACCTGTATCCATCAGATTTGTTTGCTTCTCAGAGTTCCAGATGCAAGCCGAGCATCCGTATGAAAGGAGCTCAGCCGAAGTTATTGTTCACAAGATGGGTGTGCTCGAATGGAAGGGTCAAGTGAAATATGACGAAATATGTGTTTGTTAAATTGTGTGATAATATGATAAGGACCCTCCACTCCTTTCCCCAATTTCAATGATTGATTCTAGTCATAGGGCGGTCCTCCCCTTGCAAAGTGCATCACAAGGGCCTATCAGTTCGTTCCTGGTCCGCATGGTGTGGAACCCACCACCTGCCATCACGCATCACCATACAGATCATGAATGATAGAGTAGATTTCCACAAAGCGCAACTCACAGATAACCACCACGGATCAAGATGACACAGATCGTAACGCGAAGCGACCATGGATAATGAAAAACTACCACAGTCATCCACAGGCTAACCCCAGCACAATGCAGATTGCTAGAATCTCAGAGTTAGCTGAGTTGCCAAACATACCGTAAATGCGTTTCAAATTCAACACGCCTCATCCCAGATCATGGCAACTCACTCAAAACACCCATCTCTTGCTACAACCAAGTCCGCTCTACTGTTGTTTTCAAGAAGCTTGGGCTCACCTTACCTTGCAATTTCAGAAAGCTTGTAATAATAAGCAACATTCTAGAATTCTGCATAGTAAACCAATGTTACTGAGTCTTCGTTCTGGGGTGAGCAAAACATGAGACGTCTCAGAGGTTCCTCCCCTCTCTCCAACACCATCTCGAGGACCTCCTGGTGTGGGCCTTGTGTCCATCCAGCCTTGCTGACCTCGAACCTGCAAATGGCAAAAGCCCCGTCCTGTCAATCAGTTCAGACAAGGCAAATCCCACTTTCTCGACCACCAACAGTCCCCTGACTCCACTGCCACCACAATTACACCGCCGTAGACCCCAAACAGGTTAGACAACAACGAACCATTCCCAAGTCCACTTTTTGAGACATCAACAAGAAGGGAGACAAGATGGACACAATAACAAACAAGAACGGAGACAAGAAGAGAGACAAAAAAGAAACACAGGGAGACAAAACGGACAGAGACGAAAAGAAACAGAAGAGAAACAAGACGGACACCATGACCAACAAAAAAAGGATGCAACAAGAAACAGAAGGGAAACCAAACGGACACACGGACCAACAAGAACAGAGACAAGACCACGTACAAAGGGAGGCAGAAGGGAGACAAGGTGGACATAATGACCAACAAGAAGGGAGCCATAAAGTGCCATAAAGGGAGACAAGAAGAGATACAAAAGGAAACAGCAGTAGACGGACACAATGACCCACAAAAAAAGGAGACAAGAAGGGAGACAAAAGGAAACAGAAGGAAGACAAGACGGACACAATGACCAACAAGAAGGGAGACAAGACCGGAGACAAAGGGAGACAAGAAGGGAGACAAGGCGGACACAATGACCAACAAGAGGGGAGACAAGAAGGGAGACAAAAGGAAACAGAAGGGAGACAATTTAAGACAGACACAGTGACAGACGAAAGGAAAAAAGGGAGACAAGAATCTAAGAAGGGAGACAAAAAGAAACACCAGGAGACAAGACGGACACACTAACCAACAAGAAGGGAGACAAGACCGGAGACAAAGGGAGACAGACAAAAGACAAAGCGGACACACTGACCAACAAGAAGGGAGACAAGACCGGAGACAAAGGAAGCAGAAGGGAGAGAAGGTGGACACAATGACCAACAAAAAGGGGGACAAGACGGGAGACAAAAGGAAATAGAAGAGAGACAAGGCGGACGCAGTCACAGACAAGAAGGGAGACAAAAGGAAACAGAAGGGAGACAAGACGGACAGTGACCAACAAGAAGGGAGACAAGACCGGAGACAAAGGGAGACAAGGCGGACACAACGACCAACCAGGACGGGAGACAAGAAGGGTGACAAACAAATGTGAATTTCAGCGGTTGTAGCCAGGGTGTATTGCGTACAGTTGATGCACCGTCGCTGCTGTTTCGGCTGAACAGGGCCCTTGAGCTGATTCGCTGCTGCGAAAAGGAACTGTGCGAGATTCAAACAAAGGAAAGGAGACACGACGGACACAGTGACCAACAAGAAGGGAGACAAGACCGGAGACAAAGGCAGACAAGAAGGGAGACAAGGCGGACACAATGACCAACAAGAAGGGAGACAAAAGGGAGACAAGAGGAACCAGAAAAGAAACAAGACGGACACAGTGACCAACAACAAGGGGGACAAGACCGGAGGCACAAAGAAACAGGTGGACACAATGACCAACAAGGGAGACAAGAAGGGAGACAAAGGAAACAGAAGGGAGATAAGACGGACGCAGTGACCACCAAAAAGGGGCACCAACGAGAAGGGAGACAAGAAGGGAGACAAAAGATAACAGAAGACAGACAAGACGGACGCAGTGATCACCAAAAAGGGAGACAAGACCGGACACAGTGACCAACAGGAAGGGAGACAAGAGAGGAGACAAGACAAGGCGGACACAATGACCAACAAGAAGGGAGACAACAAGGGAGACACGAAGGGAGACAGCACCAACAAGAAGGGAGACAAAAGGGGACGGAAGGGAGACTGATGGGAAGCAGGTACTTGGTAGAGGTGGAAAGCAACTGGAGTGAAGTTGAAGAAAGTGGCGTAGGTGTTGTCGAGTGTGGCGAAGGAAGTCATGTGAAAGTTGAAAAAGCCTGAGGGTGGCTTGTGTCGGTGGAATGAGTAGCTCACGGAAGCGAAAGATGAGTTTCAACTGTGCGGCGGCTCTAGATCTCCAGGGTTCATCAATATGAAAGTGCTGGGACCACAGTAGGTAAAGTACATCCGGAGATGCAGCATGGCTCCGAAGAGTCTGAGAGGTGTAGAACTTCTCCTTGGTGTCACTGCCGAGACGGTGAAGGAGGTGAAGGACATCAGAAGAACGGCAGAGGTGTGGATCCAGCAAGCATTCTGGAGCATGATGGTGTGCGCGGCGACGTTGGTGTCGATGTAGCCGAGTGATCCGCCAGTCCTGGTGGTTGGAACAGAGTATTGAGGACGTTGGAGGCCAAGTCGGCCAGGGATGGTTAAGTTGAGGGTGATGATGGTGTTGATAGGCGACTTCAGTGGAGCGGGTAGTGAGGGTGCCTTTGCAGATTTCCATGGGGATGGCTGCGTGGTGGTAGAAGGCACGAGCGCATTGCCAGACACGTAGCGCAGGTTCAAGCGGTGATGCCACTGTGGACTGTGGAGCTGCTTGAACTTACGTAGGCGGGACATTTCACGATCGAAAAGAGTGTGAATGGAGGTGCCAATGTAGAAGGCGGCCCGGTGTGGGTGAATGCGGAGGTAGACCACCGCCGAGTGAAGATAGTCGCGAGGGTAAAGCGGTTGTCGGGCACGTAGACGATGCAGAAGAGGAAGAAGATTGGCGCGGCGAAAACTGTCAGGCAAAGTGCGCAGAAGTACCAGGCGGCAAAGTTTGCCTTGTGTGATCTCCAACCGTCGAAAGGCCATGGGTAGAAGGCGAATGAGAGCGTCCAAAGCAATACGGATTAAGCGACGTGGAGGGAGGATTGGAGCCACGCATTCTTCCCAGCTGCGCGGTAACTGGTCGTCCCGACAAAGATTAGCAAAGAAGGTTGAACCAGGTGCAAAAATCGATCCCAGTCCTGAAACTGATGATTGTGAATCAGGGGCCAGAAATCGTCGGTGGCAGTGCCGTGAAGCCAAAAAGGAATGGTCCAAATATGTTGTTGAGGACCAGGACCCAAACGAATCCCAAGGAAATCACCAACGAGGCGTATAGCGTGGCCAGAAGTCTCCAAGGTGTCAAGGCTAGGGCGACGGGATTCCCACCGAACTTTCCAGCGAGGTGGTTCCGCTGGGACTGCAGGAACGCCACTGGGCGCTGGTGCCGAAGACGATAGGTCGGCGAGGGAGGATATAGCATCACCTTCCGGTTCACGAGGTGGTCGAGTGGTCCAGTAATCCTCGTCGAAGTGCCAGGACCGGTAGCAGCAGAAGGTTCAGTGGGAGTGGGTGGAAGGAAGTGCGGAGGGCGGCGGTTGGTGGAAAGTGGAAAAGTCGAAACTGGGAGGCACGAAGGGGAAAGGATTGAAAGAAGGGATGAAATTGTGGAGGGAGCAGCCTGGAAAGAAAACGAATGTTGTCGAACTTGTTGACGAAGAAGTTGAAGTTCTGCAGCCTCATAGACAACAGTAAAATGAAGGTGTATAGAGGTGGGAAAGGCCTGTGGTGGTGTTACAGATCGAGAAGGTGTGGAGGTATCATCTTCGAGGTTCTCGTGGTTGGATGCTGCATCCCCTGGGCCAGGAGTCAGTCGTACGGGTTAGGTGTCTGTTCGGAGGCAGGGCAAGTCAAAGTTGTGGAAGTAGTGTGAGCCGGCCGTCCAGTCCTTGAATCTCGTGGAGAGCGACCGCTGCGAGCTCCGTCTCGATGTACTGCGATGAGTACGAGGGTGCGAAATGGAGCGCCGGTGAGTCCGATCGCGGTCACGATGACGGTCTCGCGAGGGGAAACGGTGTTCACGGCCACGATGGTGATCACGAGAGGTGTGGTGTTCACGGCCTCGAGAGCGATCGCGTGGGGGAGTGTTATCTCGAGGTGCGATCCTCACCGCCTCGAGCACGATCACGTGATGGTGAATTCGACGGCCACGATGACGATCACGATCATGTCCAGTTGAACGACGTTCAGGAGCGATGTCCATCCCGGTCAGCTCGTCCGCGATCATCCCGATGGCAGTCTCGAGAACGAGGAGGATCGTGATCACGATTGCGAGCAGGAAGTTCTGGGATGTGAGGAGGAGGTGTAGCTGGAGGTGGAAGTGGTGGAAGAGTGAGATGTGAAGGGTGGAAAAGCGCCGGCGACGGGGAATATAGTGGTGCTCGTACTCGCGGGCGGCGCCACCGAAAGACGAGGACGAAAACTGAGGCCCGGACGTGGGGCGGTCCCCGAGGTGTAGGAGTCGTCAGACGTTGGGGAGGTGCATGGG